AGATCTCGCTCCCTAACGAGAGAAAAACAGATTAGGCAAAACCATGGAGAAAAACAATCGATTATGACGGATCGAGGAAACTTGGTTCAAGAATTGGACATTGAGGTGATTCCACTCCGCCATAATTCCTAAGCGATCTTTGCTCGAACAAACCTCAATGGATCCAACTGGGAACCATAACATCACGGAGTAGCAAGAGAGAATCCTTTTTTTTCTCAATAAATATAAACACTTAATATTAGCATTCTATACTCTTGATCTTATTGTGATTTTTTTTCTTCTCTTTCCTTCTTCTTCAGTTCTTTAAGTTGTCCTCTCTTTACCACTATCATCATTTTCCACGCTGTCCACAGCCAGGAGACCTTGAAATATAACAGCAGGGTTTCATTGCCAAGAAGGACAAGCAGAAAAAGACAGTATATTCTGTCCAATGGGCAAAATACTGAGCTGAGTACATTATACAACCACTTCCCTGACAGGGTAGAGTTTAGTTTTAGTGATGATATAGAGTGGACCAAATAACAACAACAACAACAACCACAATACTTTATATAGACACCTTAGGCCTAGGAGCTGTGAAAGCTTGTTTAAAATACCTATGTGTTAAACATGGAAAATTGTTGAAGCAACCAAGAAAGGGAATTTGTTATAACAAAAGGCCCATTTAAAACAACATCAAGGAAAGCTGGAACTTGAGAAAGATCAATTTTGAGTTTAGGTGATGACAGGAGACCATTAACTGAAAGGGAAGTTGCCAGATATGATCATTTCTTGTAATATATCATTTATGATATAAACAGTATAAAGCATGTAATCATGCACAAAGCTGATCATCTTGTTTTCAGAGAGGGACAGTAGGTACTCACAGCTATTTTTTCAACACTGTGTTTACAAACTGGACAAAAGTATGGAATGAATGTGAAAATCCAACAAATATGATCACTCTTCTATAAAAACAAGGGGTTGAAGGTGCCTGTTCAAAGAAGGGGTGTTTCTAAAATATTTTGGTCAGCTGGATGGGCATTTCTTTAGAGGGGCTCTTATTTGATAGTATAAATTGAGAATTAAATGTAATTTATTCCAGTACTTACTGTCAAAACAAAGCAGTTTAGAAGTATTGGACCTGAATACACAACTGTTATGAACAAACCAGCTGAATCAAAATACTGCTCCTTTGCAAAGGTCCTATATAAAAAATAATACATTAAATAATGGTAATTTGTGAATGTCTAATTGTTTTGTTAGTTTAAGACAGGGTTCTACTCATTTCATTTTCCTGAATAAACAAGGAAAAGCTTAAATAAATATCTTATTTATTTTCATTTTCAGATTCCTATATCCAACTCTTCTCTTAATATGTCAATTAACCTATATGTCTCAGTTTCTCCTCACCAACCGGGAGTTCATAGAAATGAACCCAAAAATACAAAATATTGATAAAAATCAAAGTGAACAAATACGGAAATCCTTCAAAAGAAAACTCTATCATTCTTGAGTGAATAAAAAACTACTTGATTTCCTCCCTTCTATAGAAAAGAAAGCTGAATTAGCTCTTAGGAATCAGTGTGAACAAACTATACAGGAGACCACAAAATTCATGTAGATACTCCAAGATAATATGGAATAGTTGGCATATATGTTTTTGTAATTCTTTCTTTTAAATATTCACCAGAATATTGTCAGTGCTTACCTCCAGTGTTGCGCTCCTAAGGTATTGATTTGTTCTGAAGCAAATGCCAGTCCCACTGAGGGAAAAATGTAGACAAATATCAACTCTGTGTAACTGAGTCACCAATTTTTTATTTTCTTTTGGGCAAAGGGTAACACATGATATTAGTTCATACTTACATAGCAACAAGAATAAGACGATTTGAAAGTTAGTGTATTTTCTTGTGCAAATAACACATAGGAATGTTGCCGTGTGGAAAACAATCAGACCTATCAACCAATGTTCAGTCCAGTCTACCTAAGAAGTATGAATAACATTACGAGATTAATCTAGATAACTCCATTCACAACAAATCATTCTTCGAAACGCTTACGACAAAATAAAAGTAGCTCACAAAATAGGGATAAACTCACAGCTTTGAAAAATTCCCACATACTATCAATTTGTTTGGTGGGGATCCATTTATCACCATGTAGAGAAAAATGTTGTTTCATCTTTTTGAGACTTCGATTTGTGATAAGTCACCACGTCGTACAGAAGGAACACGACTTCTTCAAGGCGTTACATGTAAAAGAGTAAGATTAGGACTGAGTTATTAACCGCTGGCCATTTCATGAGCCAGCAGGCCGAAGACTCAAGATTAAAATTATAAATTTACATAACAAAGCAGAAGTAAAGAATACAGGTGATCATACATTATGTATTTTATCCAAACAGCTGACTTACTTGTCCTTCTACTTAAGCTAAAATATATTTCATTTATATGTTCAATGGCAACTAACAAACGGCAGTAAGAGAGGTCTGGCCTCAGTGTATCGTTCTCCTAACTTCATGATCGATGTCTCGTTCATGAATATTCTCAACTTTGTTTGTTTATTGATCGTCTTTCAATCAATTATTTTCGGAAGTTAATCTCCTGCTGCAGTGATAATTCTCATTTCAATATTGCTGCCGCTAACGCTTTTCTGTTGCCAAGTAATTTATTTTTCCATCTTTGTTATGCTCCCAAGGAACGGTGATCAAGCGTAATTAAATTACATCGATCGTGGAAATGTCCAGATCAAAACGTTTTAAGCGCTCGAAGAATCTACTCTGCTGTTGTATAGGAAAGGAACAATTTAACTTCATCTCGTTGTCGCGTGTGTAATCGAATTTAAAACTCGTGTTTGATCGGTACGTATTGTGAAATGAAGCCTCTGGAAAGTTAAATGGTTTTGGTTAAGACGATGTTTATACGAAGTCCGCGAGAGTTCGGAGCGTGGCTATCTACTGCGCTACCCCTCGTTTTTATTGTGGTCAATAACAGTGAGTCGTGCGGTAAGTTTATTTGTCTCCTGCGATCAAAATTTATTGCTTTCGATCAAGGCACGAGTGGTCGTCCTGTTTCCGTGCTTACGTGTGTCAAAACAAATCTGCTTTCCGAATTTCTCGAAAACGAAATTTTTAATTTTGGCTCTTACCATAAATTTTACCCTTCTATTCTTATATAGTCTCTCTTAACTTGTTAGATTAACAGATAAAATGTAAATATAAGAAAGAGTTACAGATAACAACTCATGCATTTGAAATTAATTTAAAAACAGTGAAGATCTCCAAGTCTTCTTATTTTCATCAAGTTGACACATCCTTATCATCATGTGGTGCCTTATTTTTTTTACACTTGTCCTTTTCATTTTGTGTGTTCCTACATTAAGCTTTAGGTACTAACCTATTTTAAATTGAAATTCAGTGTAACCTCATTTAACTTTGGCTAGAATATATTTCACTTACCCTTTCTGTTGATCAGGATCCAATTCTCAGACTTAATTTAATGGAAAGTGTTGACATAACTTTAATTTAACTTAGAATATATGGATTTTGACCTGTATAGGTGACAGTTGACTATAATTATCTATTTGAAAACAAAAAAAAACACACACTACTCAAGGCACTTATTGCTTAGATACTGGTGTATGGTACTTCTACCAAAAATATCGACAAATTCTTGTTTAAAGTGTTGTGATTGAGATATTTATGAATTGAAAAGTAATTATAACAACCTGTTACAACCAAAATGAAAGACTTTAAAAGCAAAGATCATTAGGGAGCCTGTCTTTATCAGTATAGGCCACTAATTAAAATTTTTCAATGTATTTCTTTCAATAATTAGAAGATGTCATCAGGTAGTTACTTGAACTGACCCTTCTTCCCAAATGTTTACTTTGAAAAAAAATTTATCCTTGTTGTAGTATCTTGAACCTATGAATTTCAAATCCAGTAAAATGTTTTCCAATTCCTGCAAGCTCTTTGTAAGAATTCACCTTACGCAACAACCTAACTATTACTTTTGATTTTAGTTCTAAGGGTTTCTCGTTAAATGAGAAATCATCTCCTGGTTATTGTTGTTTTTTTAATTCTCATTACCACTAGGCTTGGCAAAGTAATAATATTGTAAGGAGAAGTCATAAGTTAATACCTTCCTTCCTGGGTGGGCACAATTTGGTATGCTTCTTTTTATAGAAATGTTTTTAAATTATTTTATGACTCAGTTTTTTTACATTCTACTTACTGATATGAATTTTTAAATTTTTTTCGGATGACATCAAAGTGAATGCAGTAAAAATCTTTAAATTTTACTCACTGATCTGAATTTTTAATTTTTCAGATGATATCAAAATGAACACAGTTGCTCTGTTATTTGGAGATGTTACCATATCTCATTGGAATACTGGAAACAAAACATTGCTTTTTCAGAAAAGCACAGTGGATGCTGTCAACTTGCACTGCTCTCAAAATCCCAACCAGTGTTCTTTGAATTTCTGGAATGACTCAAGGTATTCTGGGAAAAGTGGAGATATCCAAAGTAAAAATCATTATGGGACTTTTGCTGATTAAATAAGTACAACTGTTTTCCTCTCTGTAGATCAATTCAATAAAAGTAATTCAGGATAACAAGAACACTTGCACCACCCACCTTAACACCCTAACATCAGTATTTATATTCTCCATACTGTCCTCTGTACATTTACTAAGGTGCTGACAAGGAGAATTTGTTTAACAATCAAGAGTTCTTTAGTTGGTGATTATTTCCTTTATTCTCATGACATTGATGTGTGATTCAATAGTGGTATTGTAAGGAGAAATTAGATGCTAGTCACTCTTAGAGGTTAAAAGATTTAATAAGTTTCCCACAAATCAGTCAGTTGTCTCTTTGCTATTTTTGCCACTCATTGGCTCATGAGGTTATAAACTTGTGTTCTGATTAGCTATTTGGTTTGTTGACAGTAGATTAAAATTACTGTTCTCTGTCAACATCTTGTGGATAATCCTTCGTAATTTTTTCACTCACCTGCTAGCATAGCTTAACAGCTGATTATCATTTTCAGAAAATTTACCAACAAAAATGCAGCATTTGTTGAATCTCCCAAACAAGAAAAAAATGATGTTTTGATCCAGTTGTTTGTGACCTTGCCTGAAGGAAGAGACCTCCGACAAGACAGCTGCAGTGTTGTTCCTGGAACAACTCTCCTGAAAATTGTACAAGATTTTAAGCACAACCTTTCATCTATGGTAGGAGCTGAAATCAAGTCAGTCACACTGAACAGCAAGTCAGAAGGAGGCAGAAATGATAATAAATTAAACTACATAATGATACCGATAAGCTTTTCTGTGTTGGTCATCTTGTGCCTTGTAGCCTGTTGTCTTCACTATGCCAGGTATGTCTCAATCTATGAAAATTATATCACTTTTAAAGATATGATCTTTGCATATAGGCTCCAATGAACAAAAGCAATTGCAGAAAGAAGCATCACAATATTAAGGCTTCAACAGACATTTGATTTTAAAGTTCATTTGGTAGAAACGCTGTATGATTGTTTGCAAGAGGCACAGGTTTGAATCTTGTTGTCACCTGAATTTGTCAAGCTTCTATTCTACAATTGCTTTATTTGCAACATACCTGTTTTATATATTTTATTTACATGTAGATCATCTGTCTGTCTAAATGTCATTTATCTCATTACATTGTGAATTCCTCTACCAAAAAAGAAGTTCTACTGAAATTTGCCCCACTCCAAGCTTGTGCCTTTGTAGCTTAGTTGGTCACAGCACCCTGACTACTCCCCAGTAGGCCTGGGTTTGAAATCCATCATAGCCTGAAATTTTTCAAACATCTTTGCTTTGATTACTGGAATTGCAGCTCACCTGCAAATACCATTCCTTTTACATGTATTTCATGCAAGGGTAAATATTGTTTACTTAATTACATTAGATCACTGGCTGGATAATGAAGATGACTAGCTATGTAGTGATTGATTGCTATCATATTTTTGAGAGGGAAACTTGACTTTTTTTACTGCAATTCATTTAGAATTCGTATTTCTTTCTTTTGTCGCTTTTTCATCGATGTTCTAATTTTTTTCTTTTTTTTGGCGTAGTTTTTCTTTTGTTTGTGTCATTCGTATAAATTCATTCGGCTTCATCATTTAAACTGTGCCGGATCGTTTTCCTCAATCGTTTTATTTCGTCCTTAACCGTTAACCAGCCATTTGTCCCCGGATCTCGTACAACTCTATTTTGTTTTCTCGTTTGTCGATTTCTTTACGCATAATTGTCGTAACTTATCATTTGAAATTTTATTTTAGCAACCGCTTCGATTATTCAGTTCGCAACAATACTCCGGTTTGTTTCTTTTATTGTTAAAGAAAATTAAAGAGCATGTTTTGAACATGTAGGAGTAACTTTGGTCCTATCATTTCATAATTATTTAAAGTTCTCTTTACACTTTGTTTTTCAAATTTGTGTTTCTTGAATAGCATGTCTTCTTGTCCATACAATATGAGGAAGTAACTGAAGATCTTGAGACGCATCGTGTCATACAAAATAGCAACATAACTATACGAATAGTCCGTGTCTCATGCGATCAAAGCTTGTGAATTAAACTCAGACAATTTCCGTGCCAGCTGTATAGTTTTAGTCATTGTCAGAAGACAAGAGACTTTTAACCGAATGATTCTGGCATTCGAGGAAGTTATATCCAGCTTTCTTCCACCATTCGAACACTTTTCTCACGCACTTTGTTGAATGTGGATGCATTTCCCAGCTGTCATCATGATAATCGTCGCCGTGAGTAGGATTGAAAGCGCCTGAAATGGTCTTAAACGCACCATTCATGATTCCAAAGCCTTCACCGACCACGTTCACCTTTTTGCATGATTCCCCGAAAGCTCTTCTGTATATGATGCCGTGGACTTTTCCCGGTTCGTTCGGCCATTTTTTCTGTAGCTCTTTAAATTCTTCGGTGTCAGTTTGCACGATAACAACATATCCACTTTTGCCGTGTGTTCCATTTGCCGTGTACCAATCTCCTTCTCCTTCGCGGCCGTAGATTATGATTCCTCCGTACATGAAACAACCTCCTCGGTATGGATCTGATTTGCACGAGATGTGAATCGTGTCAACGACGAAAAGCCTGCCTTTCAAACTACCACCACGTCGTGGCAAGACCATAAACAATCATTTTCTTCTTCTCCCTCTACGTATGCTGCGTATGACATTTTTCCTGTGGTAATTTTCAGTCTGCGTCTGAGATCTATTGATCACAAAGAGTTATTGATCAGGCTTGCGTTGAAAAATGAAAGCCTTCTCGTGTAGCGGATAAACTTCCCAAAGCTCAGCGCGGAACCAGTTTGCAATGTTGACAAACGTGACCTCACATGATTCGCTTGTATCCTACAGTTGCGTTACGACCTCTTCCATAACATTATTGATGATTTGTTTTATAATGAGGAAGTCGCAGTGGCTAATATTCGCAAATACGTCAAGAAAATAATGTTCTTTTTACTTCCGAAGCTTTGTGACATTAATGGAATCAAATTAAACTTCAAACTCACGATAAGACTTCTTTAAGACATGTCTGGCATGACTCATGCCATTATCAGTTATATCCGTTGACTTTGTTTTTACAGTTACTCGTTACGTTAAAACTGGGATAACATTTCAAATAAAGTGACAATATTTTAAATGACAATTAGCTTTACAATAGTTTAAGTGCACGCTCACGGGCGCAAATGTAGAAGGTTAGTCTAAGCGAAAAAATGATATGTTCTTATTGACCGATTGGGAGGGCTGTGCGGGAAAATATTTGACTTGAGTTCATGACATACGAACCGAGCGCAAGCGGCCACGCTATAATGCTTCCTTTGTTCAAGGCAATAAGAAGTTTTGCCTGGGTCAAGAATTTGAAGGACTCAGCCGAACATTTTTGTTTACAACTAGGAAAGGGACGCAAGTGCTTGTGCATATACGAATTTTTGTCTGTCAGTAGATGTTCCTTCACCCTTGTGGAAAATTGGCGAGTTGTCTCTCTGGTCAATGTAACAGGAGTTACATCCTGCATATGTAAAATTATATTTATTTATATTTTAACGCATCCGGAATGGGGTCTTTAAAGCTTAAGTAATTTTTTTTTATTATTTTGAAAGAGGTTGAGGCAACCTCAAGTCAAGATCTTTGCTGAAAATATTTGACACTTCTGTAAGAGCACCTTAAACTCGGTGGATTTTCCAACTTTGAGATCGTTCTTTTTAAAGTAAAGATTGCAAAGTTCCTTAAGTTTCTAAATTTTATAGACATAGGCTATCTGGAACATTAATATTAATATGATAATCGTGTAATTGTCATTATTTCATTCATTGAATTTGCATAATCATCTTTATATTCGTTTTTCCTGACAGCGAAAAGAGACGGAAAGCGATAGCCACTGAAAGGAGAAAACAAGCTACGAAGAAGCTGCGTGAAAATATTTCAAAATCTTCCGAAGCTAGTCACAAAGAGGAACGTGTTCCAGTGGAGAGCACTGCTCAAGGAGATGTATCAATAACAGTCACTCACGGAGATTCAAGAAGGGAGAAACGAAAAGAGCCCAAAATTGGAGAAGTCCATCTGCACAGCGATCAACAAGAACACGTTGAAAATAACGAAAGTCGCGACTTGAAGAGGAGAAGGAAAAAGAGAGTTAAGCAAAGCAGAGTTAATACTACAACTTTGACGCCTGCAGTGACCTGTGGTCAGTTGGAAGAAGATGAAAGGGAACGTGTTCCAACACCGATGCCAGTCCACCACGGTCTGAGCACTAGAACAGATCCAGGGGAGAGCTTTCACGATGGGCGAAGGCACAAGAAGAGAAAGAAACATAAGAGACCACATCATGAAATTAAAGAACAGGACGAGGGGTTTGCTGAAGACAGCGAGACGCGGCAGACTGGGAATTCGGAGGACTCTCTGATAAAAAATCTGCCCCGTCCTCGAAAATTGATCCCGTTGCAGGAGAAAAGCCAAGCGACCCCTCAAGTATAAAAAGAAATATATCTTCCGCAGCGTTTCATTTTATAAGTTATTATTTATATATTTTTAATGAGGCCACTTTACGAGTTGTAAGATGACTTGGGATACCTTTTCTCTAGGTTGACAGGTAATTTAAAGCCAGAACTGTTGGTTTATAATCGATATTCCCGAATCAGACACCTCGGAATGCAGACATTTACCTCAAGCTTACACGAAATCATAAATCCATTCTGTTTTGGGAAAGGATTTTAGACAAAAGTAGTGCAAAAAATAATTTTAGGTAATTTTACGTACCATTTGTTCTTTTTTTTTTCTTTTAACGTCATCAATTTTTTTGTGAATCTTTGAGTTTAGATGTTTTTTATTGCCCACTAAAAAAAAGGTTCCTTAAATATTAAAATCGCCGATTTCTGGATGCATCCAGTTAAACGAATTAATAATGGTAAGTCAACACATGGAATCGTGTTTTCCTTCAGATGCCGATAGAAATGAATACAGTTACAACCACTTAAATATTTCAGAACTTATTTATAAACTTACATTGCAACCAATGTGTTGATATTTCTCCAAACTGCATACAGCAAATGTTGACCCCAGACTACAATCATATTCGTCCTTAAAATAGCATCCGTGATTCACACAGTAAGGTCACGAGAATAAAGGAAATGATCACCAACTAAAGAAACTCTTGGTTGTTAAAAAATGCTCCTCATCACCTGAGGTAAAGTGCAGAGAACAGTAAAGAGAATATGCATACTGATATTAGGGTGTAAAGGGTTGATTCTACAATTATCTGTGTGATTTGTTGACGAACGAGGAAACCGCAACACTTTCGCCTTTCCTCAATGAAATGTGAAAGCGTATGATTACCGATTCATGGAAATGAAACAGGGCCATATGGTAGAGAACACCTTCCAAATTTGGAACGCGCTTACAGCAGTAACTAAGATGAATAAATCATCGGTTCGGATCCATTTTTGCGTCAGAAGCGAATTCGAAAATTGGTTACAGGAGTATGACAAGAAACACGTAAAAAAAACAATTCTAGGTAATGACGATTTGATAATAAAGCAAACATGCACAGCAAACATGGATTACGACAATGTGTTCTGTTGGCAGTGCACTTGTCACCAGAGCCATTTCGCATATAAAAGATAATTCAGCCCCGAGAAACAGGTTGCAATAATTTACTCTAATTTTTTCATTACCTGTCAGCTCGCAACCATTTACTCAAGTGGAAGTGATTAGGGGTGGGTTTTTAACGAGCGAGGCCAATATCCACCCATTTTCACCGATGCTGGGGTGAATAATAAATTTGGTGCAGTCCACAAAAAACCAAAAAGATCTATTTTTTATGCCAGTTCACCAGAAAATGGTCAGGAATTAAACTCTTAACGCGCGATTTTGTCTTTTCGGCTTCTCGCAGATGAATAGTACTTGCTAGTCACATCCGACCAAGCCAATGAGCGTGTGAAAAAGGCACGCACTTTTCACTTATGTGATGTTTACTAAAACGTATTATGATTGATTGAATTGTATAGAGTAACGTAAAAAAGGTCTGTAGATGAGACTTCATGTATCGAATTCGTTAGTACATTTCTCGATTTCGTTACTTAATTGTTTCGAATTGCGTGATATTGTTTCCTTTTCGATTATGCTAATAACGGAAGTCGTTAAAATATTGGACCTGAGGATTCAATTCGTTCGGAACTGCAAAACAAACAAATTAAAAAATGAAGAATGGTGTATTGTTAACTTCAGCACAAGAGGACTGAACACTGAAGACTGAAGGAGGATCTTTGAGAAAATATTCGAAGATGCGTGCTGAAAGATTCGTCCCTATCAGTTAAAGCCTATGTTAGCAGGCTATAACCTTGAACTTGAAGGCTAGAATGAAAATATGAAAATTGCTTTTCATCGGAATCTTGTTTAGAAAAATTCCCTTTAATGTAACATTCAGTGATTTACAGGCTTTTATTTTGAAAAAAAATTAAATACAAAACTATGCATGTATGCCTAAAAAAGAACTCACGAAGGAGCTCAACCTACGAGAAGTTGAGTAATTCTTGTGGAGCGAATACTCATCATACAACAGTCAAAGAGCTTGAGCTTCCATTATGTCCGACACATTAGCAAAAAAACTACATGAATATTCATTGTCTTAAAGCTGCAGCAGTTTTAGAACTTAGCTGTGTGGTTTTTACTCCTCATCAGAGGAAAATAAAGTTTTAACCGCATGATTCTGGCGCTCGAGGAAGTTGGATCCAGCTCTCTTCCACCACTCAACCACCTTTTCTACACACTTCTTTGATTCTGGATGCATTTCCAGGCTGTGGCCGTGTTTGCTGTCGTCTTTGCCCGCGAAG